CTGTGACAATTTTAATGTGTAATTTATATGTAGGGAGAGGGCGTAACAAGTTTTCTGAACTTGTGCCCAATCCCTTTGTAATTATAAATTACAATAAAACATGTTCAAATCAAATCAAATCAATAACTATCATATGAAACAATAATGGCAATTTTAAAACAAAAAGATAAATAAATGACAAAATTAAACCTCTAAATATCTTAAACATTTTACATAGAATGATATTATATATATATATCTATATCTATCTATCTATCTATCTATCTATCTATCTATCTATCTATATCTATATCTATATATATATATATATATATATATATATATATATATATATATATATATATATATATATATATATATGTCTATATCTATATATCTATCTATCTATCTATATGAATAAAAAAAAAATCATAGTTGTATGTAAACAAATCTCCTCCTCTACGTATTCTTCATATATACATTACGTAAAAGAGGAGTTTTGATTACACAGAATTATGAATATTTTTTTTATTTGTTTGGTTGCGCTAGATATGTAGTCACTTTTGTTATTATTTATTCTCCTTTTTCGAGGGTAGTTTTCAAGAAGTAGATATTTCATCTAATTACAAAAATACACAAATAAATAAAAGAAGAAAATATGATAGGGACTTTTCACTCTCTCTTCCAAAAAGCACATACTCCGTGATAATGCAACATTATTTTCTTTAAAAAAATATTCAGATATTATTTTTAAAGCACAGATTACTTTCAAAATGATATTACAAAATACGAATTTTAAATAAGTTATGTAAGCTGATATTTTTGACATTTAGTCAAAAAGTTATGCATTACATTTCAAATCCGTTTTTATTTACAAATAATTAAAGATTTATATCTTTCAGGATTCTTACTTTGTCTATTTTTAAATTCTGATAAGAATGTGTAAATAAAGCTAATGAAATAAAACACGGGGAGAATGATCAACAGGCACTTCCCCATTTGGTACACTAATATAATCGATTTTATTGGTTTGGAACTCCTTAATTTGATCTGATATTTCGACAATGACGTCAATCAAAATATTAACATTTGCATCTGACTTTTGAATTCAAACAACAAAGAATTTTTATAACAAAACTATTTTTAAGTATAAAGATAAACATGTACGAAAGAAATTTTCAAATTGTACCATAATGTATGACAGTATTTCACTTCAATCTGTGAATTGGGTAGCTCCACCAGCAAACACTTCATTTTTGCAAAGGAAAGATAATTCTGAAAAAAGTATTTAATTCTCAATCTAATGACTAGCGTATCAATTTACCAATTAAATCAAACCATCCTGTTTTTGTTCTTTTTCTTCTTTGAACTGTAGTTCAACTATCACCTGGTGTTTGCATCTCCAAACTTATTCGATACTCAGAAGCATAACCTGAGAACGATCAGTTTTTAAACCGAGAAAGGCTAGCTTCTGACAGATAAGTTGATATATACAGGAATTTCAACAATTTCGTTTAAAGTCAGGCTAGGTCAATATTGATATTTGTCTGGTGAATAACAAACCATATTCTGTGAAGAGGGCATAAAACATAAAATACTGGAAATAAATGAGTCAGCATTTCATAAATTCTATAGTCAATATAAAGACCTTTTTAACAAATAATATACAATTATGGACTCTTTCTGTGGTGTGAATATGGTTTGTTATTCACCAGAATAAAAAAGTGGAATATATAAACAGACAACATTCTCGCTGAATCCCTATTAGTTTTGACACTCATATCTCGCATTTCACGAGCATGTTTTGTAAACAAAAACTTCGTGATTTCCCCCTTTTTGTGTGAGATCAAAGTTATTGTTTTTGCTTTTTTAAATATCAAAATTGCCATAATTTAGGCTAAAATTGATAATAAAACTAATAATGAAAATTAATAATGAAAACATTGAAATATTCAGGAAGTTACGGATTATACCAATTAAAGGAAACACTTAAACCCTGTTATAATGTCTCTCCAAAGGAGAGGAAGCACCACTCTCTGAAATACAAAGCTTCAGTAAATCACGTCAACGTCAAATCATTCATGTAGAAAATGCAATGGCAGAAAGTAAGTTAGTAGTACACAAGTGAGTTAGTTAGTTACTTAATAAGTAATGAATAAGTAAGTAATGAAAAAGGTGAAGATGAAAATGGTCCATCTCAAGAATCCACAAACAATTCAAATCAGTGAACACGGCATAATACATGGACCACTGGAAATTTCCATGATATATCAACCTATCTGTCAGAAGCCTAGGCTTACCTTGGTTTAAAGATTGATCGTTCTCAGAGCATGCTCTTAAGTATCGAATAAGTTGGAAGACATAAAACCATATGCAGGTAATTAAGGAATATTCTAAATAGATAAGAAAAGTTGACGATGGAAAAGCTGAAGTCATCTCATTTGTCATTCATTGTGGTTGCTAGTTGGCCCTTATCGTCTATAGTGGGTTAAACATCAAAATATGAAACAATTTATTTTTCACATACCAAAGAATACAAATAAAGCAATATATTACAATTGCATCTGAAATATTGGCATCCTGCCTCAAAGATATATGAGGCACTAAAAATGTACAAGTTATATCTTTACAAATATCTTCAAATATCTGCATGTTTTCTTGTTTTGTGCATTAATTAAAATGTTCTGCTACCACAGCCTGTACGTCCATGATTTCTGACTTCATTTAAAAGCATAGGTTATCAGTTTCTTTTAGAAATATCACAATTTGCTTCTAAAATTTTGCCTTGTATATATATAAATCATAGCACAAGTCACTTTAAAATTTACAGTATAATAAGAATTTTTTTTTTCATCCTCCACAACAACATATTTACAAGTTCTACATTGGAAAGTGATACCGGCTTGGTGTATCTGCATTTTCTGAAGGTTTTCTCATTTTGAGGAATCAATGCAATATCATCAGCATAAAGCAATATTGATTGTTTTGTTTAGCTTTACCTCACAATTTAGTGTCTTTATTTCGTTTGCAAAGTCGATATCATTAATATATATTGAAAACAATTTTGGTGACATTTTACATCTTTGTTTCACACCTTGGATTACTGAGAAAAAATCGGTCATATAATTATTTAATTTAATAGCACACTGTTTTTTGGTTATAAATAGATGTCACAGCAGTAAGAAATCCTCCATGGTCTCCCCTGAGTAAGTCTGTACCAGAGTAGGTCCCGATTCACACAATCGAATGTGACAATGCGAATTATATTCAAAAGTTGAAACAATAGTCCATTATACAAGAATCATTTTTTTCAATAATATATTTTTCCAAAGTCTGAAAGCTCTTGACAAAAAATTGCATATTTTAACTACAGAATACATAACAATTTGCTTAATAGTAGAAGTTATTTAAGCAAATAAAAAGGTATTTCTAATGCTTTCTTATTGCAAGGAATGTGTTGAAACAAACGAGCACCTATTAAATGAATGTCAGAATGTTTAAAGAATATGGAATGCTGTTATTGAAATTTTAAAATTCAATGTAACATGGAAACTGGTAGTTGTGAGATTTTATTATGAAGTCAATGTAAAAAAAAAAAAAAATCAGTTTACTAATCTCATATCATTTGTAGCCCTACATGTAAGACTGTATAAATAGAAAATTTGGTGTAGAGGACAATGAAAAAGATGAAAATAACGAAAAGTAATCGATCTTTTAAGAGAAATCTACAAACAATGCAAATCTGTGAATAGAGCATAAAACAGCAGAATCATTAGAAGGAATTTAATGTGTGATAAAAATTCCTGAAACACATTTTACATGTAATAGGCTTTAAAAGATCTAAATAGAAGCAAAATAAATGGAATACATTAAAAAAAAAAGTAGAAGAAAGATTATAATTTTAATCATCATATTTTTGTAAATTAAAATACATAACATTTCAGTCTCATTACTTTCTTCCTTGTCTGTATTGTTACTTTTTTCTTCCAGTAAATGTGTTTCTTATCACTATTTAACCCATCAATTTCCATTGATTGTTATAATTGTATTTGTTTCTCCTCGTTGTCCATCAATGATAAAACATGAATGTATATAAGCAACAAAATTTGTATGATGCAGAAAAAGGTAACCAAAGTCTCTAGTTACCTCTATTAATTATAGCGAAAATGCGTGAATTTTTTTTGAAAATCTTCTCTGCTTCTGCGTATGAAGTAAACAAATTGAGAGCATAGTTATGGTGAGCAATGGTGCCTCTTCGAAAATTGTCAATTGTGAATTTCATGGCTCATGAGTCAAGGATTCTGGTGTTAGGACGGGGCACTATTGCTTATATAGTGCAAAGTGGGTTATTTCTTTGAAAATTTTCTTCTCTGTTCCTTGGTATTTAGCAAACAGCCAAAGTGCATGGTTATGATGAGCTAGGGAACCTCTTCCAAAATTGTGAATTTCATGGTCCCTGAGTCAAGGATTCAGGTGTAAGGGCAGGGCTCTATTGATTATATAGTGAGAATATTTTTTTTGAAAATCATCTCTGCCCCTGGTATCTAGGAGGCATATAGAGTAAGCAAGGGTATTTTTACTCTCAAGTGTTGAAATTCTGGACCACTTTTTAAAATGTTTTGGTGCTGAGGAGGGCTCTATTAATTTGTAGTATGCTGAGATAAAATATTCCTTTGTGCTATTCACTATGATAATTTACCACTGTAGATACTGTAATTGAAAGGTCAACTAAAAAAAGAGATTTATACAGGATTTTTTTTTTCATTATCATATAAAAATCACTTTCATATGTTTTAATGGTTACGTTGACTTAAACTAGTATATAATAAATAAATAAAATGAGACAAAAATACTTATTTTCGAACAATAAATGTTCTTCAAATATCAAAGCGAGGATGAATCCTTTACTGGATTGTTTAATACGCAGGTGACAGCTAAGGTCCTCGAGCCTCTTGTTTGAATTCATTTTTACAGAGATTTTTTCTTGCAATTCTCCTGTATTTTCTTTATTTGTTGCAAAGATGAAAGCTGATGATTCAAAACCCATGCAGTTTGAATGTACTGTACATATTTGTACAATAAGTCTAAAAGAAGAAGCACAAAAACAGAGGTATAGGATCAAGTGCCATGAAAGAGTAAGTATCCCCTAAAGACCGGACACTCACGGTGTGTGTAATCTGTAGACAATTCAGAACAATTTGTATGAAAAACGTCAGTCAACATTCGATAGATTGTAGCCGACAATATATATATATATATATATATATATATATATATATATATATATATATATATATATATATATATATATATATATATATATATATATATATATATATATATATATATATATATATATATATATATATTAGGGATGGCAATTTATAACCGGTTAACCGATTACTCGGTCGGAACGATGGTAATCGGTTAAAGAATTTGTAATCGGTAAGTCGGAGAAAATAAAATATGTGTTAATTTAACGCAATTTTCTTAAAATTCATTTAAAAAAAAAGAATCCTCTGCATAAAAATTGATAGTTTAGCATTTTCACATATCTGTCTAAGCTGAATTAGCGGTAATTATGGCTCTTTGAATTGAGATCGAAAGGTAATTAGTTTGTGAAGTGTAAATTACTATTTAAACACCACGTCGTTACCCCGTCCTGTAATTATTTAATGATCTTTTGCAGTTATCTATCAATTTATATTATTACATTGTTTATTAAGTGAAAGTTCCGACCTAGTTTTAATTATGTTGACAATGCAGCATGAACCACTGGAAAATTATCAATGGCTTATTTCTAAGGCATGTTCCATGGGTTTTCTTAATGTTTTCTTGTGTATTGAAATTGAAATAAACTATTTTTACATGTAGTTTATTGATCAAAGTAAACAGAACGTTTCTATCTTTTGATTAACGTATTTTTTAGTCTTGTGTTTATCATGAATAGAGGCACTTGAAAAAAAAAGTCAAAAAAATTAATATGTATTTTGATACGATTAACCGGTTAATCGGTCGGAACGTCTTGCGGTTAACCGATTAGCAATTTTGAAATCGATTGCCATCCCTAATATATATATATATATATATATATATATATATATATATATATATATATATATATATATATATATATATATATATATATATATATATATATATATATATATATAAAGCACTAAAAATGACCAACGACACGAACAATAATAATTGTCAATTTTTGGGACATCCTGTCCCTTCCTCAGGACAAAGAAAAAAGTTAAGAAGTCATAAAAACCAAGGAAATAGAGAAGCAAAAACAACTAGCACTACTACTAGACTACCAAACACTAAATATTTACAATGTTACATGTTTAATTTGGAGTTTATAAACAGTTGTGAACAAAGAAATCCGGAGCGCTATGAATTGCGTCCGGTCTATCGGGTGTTCTCTGGTGAAGTGTGATTTACATAATTGAACGAATTAATTATCGCTAATTAATTACGGCCAACAGTAAATCGTACATTGTCTTATTCTCTCAAAATAACGTAACTCTACATGATAAAAAGAAATTAAAGAAAGATAATATGGAAGGACAGTTTTGAAATATGAATTTGGATATATTATAAATTTGGAAATCGGAAAAAAGAAATAAACAAAAATGTGAGCTGTAAATATTTGGGTAGGTTGTTCCAGGATTACTAATACGAATTAACGGTAAAGTTTACACTATATAGAGAGAATGAACTTGTTTGTTACAATCCGGGATTGGGTCTAGTTCACGTTCATCCTGGTGAAGTCATTAAGTTTGTTAATACCATTAGGGCGGAATGACTTCAGCCTGTGCATCCAGAACTTTTCCTTGCCTTTTCTCTGCGCGTCTGTCCATCTTGGATTATGGTCAATAACCACTTCTGTCATGTCCTCCCATTTGTGACCTTCAAGGTTGAAATGTTCCCCAACGGGTTCATTGAGTTTTTTGGTCCTAATGGTAGAACGGTGATTATTGACTCTCCTGCGGAGATCTCCTGTTTCACCAACATACTGTTTGGAGCAAACTTTGCAACTGATGAGATAAATGCAGTTGTCTGTTTGACAGGACAAATTCTCTAGTATTTTGTAGCTGCGGCCTGTAACGGGGCTGTTAAAACTGTCTGTGTCAGAACTGTACTTACAAAGAAGACATCTTCTGTCAGAGCAAGTTTTAAAGCCCCCGTTAGGTAATGGATTGTCCAATCTGGTTCTTACTACCATGTCCTTCAGGTTCCTCGGGCGTCTGTATGCAGCCAATGGGGGCTCCTTAAAGACCTCTGCCATTCGTTTATTTGAGTGGAGAATTGGCAGATTCTTTTGAAGGATACCGCTGAGGTTCTTAAGGACGGGATGGTATGTGGTTACCAGAGGGACCCTGCCGCTATTGTCTTTTTCCTTGTAGCGTAATAGGTTTTGCCTGTCATGTCCCGCCATCTCATCAATAGCAGTTTGTACGGTGCGGGCATTGTAGCCTCTCTTGCATAAGTGGGACTTAAGGAGACCGCTTTGTTCTTGATATAAGGCAGGGGATGAACAGATGCGCCGAATTCTGGTGGCTAGACCCTTAGGCACACCCTTAAATGTGTGTGGGGGATGACAGCTAGTTGGCATAAGATACAGATGGGAATCTGTGGGTTTCGTGTGGAGACTGAACTCGATTTCACCATCAGTAAGGGTAGATGTAGTATCTAGGAATATGTTTTTCGAATTAGATACGTCTACTGTAAATTTGATAGACTGATGAAAGGTGTTGGCAAACGAAATGAATGCCTCGAGGCTCTCGCGACATTCCACCCACTTCATCTCTATATCGTCAATGAAACGCAACCAGCTAAGGGGCCTAAATGGTGCTTGAAGTAGCAAGTTGCGTTCCAGTCTGCCCATGAAAATATTGGCATAAGATGGTGCCATTTTCGTACCCATAGCAGTGCCATTAACCTGCAGGTAATGTTCTCCATTAAATATGAAGTTGTTATACTACGCTACAAGGAAAAAGACAATAGCGGCAGGGTCCCTCTGGTAACCACATACCATCCCGTCCTTAAGAACCTCAGCGGTATCCTTCAAAAGAATCTGCCAATTCTCCACTCAAATAAACGAATGGCAGAGGTCTTTAAGGAGCCCCCATTGGCTGCATACAGACGCCCGAGGAACCTGAAGGACATGGTAGTAAGAACCAGATTGGACAATCCATTACCTAACGGGGGCTTTAAAACTTGCTCTGACAGAAGATGTCTTCTTTGTAAGTACAGTTCTGACACAGACAGTTTTAACAGCCCCGTTACAGGCCGCAGCTACAAAATACTAGAGAATTTGTCCTGTCAAACAGACAACTGCATTTATCTCATCAGTTGCAAAGTTTGCTCCAAACAGTATGTTGGTGAAACAGGAGATCTCCGCAGGAGAGTCAATAATCACCGTTCTACCATTAGGACCAAAAAACTCAATGAACCCGTTGGGGAACATTTCAACCTTGAAGGTCACAAATGGGAGGACATGACAGAAGTGGTTATTGACCATAATCCAAGATGGACAGACGCGCAGAGAAAAGGCAAGGAAAAGTTCTGGATGCACAGGCTGAAGTCATTCCGCCCTAATGGTATTAACAAACTTAATGACTTCACCAGGATGAACGTGAACTAGACCCAATCCCGGATTGTAACAAACAAGTTCATTCTCTCTATATAGTGTAAACTTTACCGTTAATTCGTATTAGTAATCCTGGAACAACCTACCCAAATATTTACAGCTCACATTTTTGTTTATTTCTTTTTTCCGATTTCCAAATTTATAATATATCCAAATTCATATTTCAAAACTGTCCTTCCATATTATCTTTCTTTAATTTCTTTTTATCATGTAGAGTTACGTTATTTTGAGAGAATAAGACAATGTACGATTTACTGTTGGCCGTAATTAATTAGGGATAATTAATTCGTTCAATTATGTAAATCACACTTCACCAGAGTACACCCGATAGACCGGACGCAATTCATAGCGCTCCGAATTTCTTTGTTCACAACTGTTTATAAACTCCAAATTAAACATGTAACATTGTAAATATTTAGTGTTTGGTAGTCTAGTAGTAGTGCTAGTTGTTTTTGCTTCTCTATTTCCTTTGTTTTTATGACTTCTTAACTTTTTTCTTTGTCCTGAGGAAGGGACAGGTTGTCCCGAAAATTTGACAATTATTATTGTTCGTGTCGTTGGTCATTTTTAGTGCTTTATATAAATTTCCATCCGTGACCTTGTATCTACTTAGTAGATCCGACACTTAGGATATACAGTGTTGTTGGTTTTTAGTGCTTTATATATATATATATATATATATATATATATATATATATATATATATATATATATATATATATATATATATATATAATATATATATATATATATATATATATATATATATATATATATATATATATATATATATATATATATATATATATATATATATAAAGCACTAAAAATGACCAACGACACGAACAATAATAATTGTCAAATTTTCGGGACAACCTGTCCCTTCCTCAGGACAAAGAAAAAAGTTAAGAAGTCATAAAAACAAAGGAAATAGAGAAGCAAAAACAACTAGCACTACTACTAAACTACCAAACACTAAATATTTACAATGTTACATGTTTAATTTGGAGTTTATAAACAGTTGTGAACAAAGAAATCCGGAGCGCTATGAATTGCGTCCGGTCTATCGGGTGTACTCTTGACACTTCACCTGAGTACACCCGATAGACCGGACGCAATTCATAGCGCTCCGGATTTCTTTGTTCACAACTGTTTATAAACTCCAAATTAAACATGTAACATTGTAAATATTTAGTGTTTGGTAGTCTAGTAGTAGTGCTAGTTGTTTTTGCTTCTCTATTTCCTTGGTTTTTATGACTTCTTAACTTTTTTCTTTGTCCTGAGGAAGGGACAGGTTGTCCCGAAAATTTGACAATTATTATTGTTCGTGTCGTTGGTCATTTTTAGTACTTTATATAAATTTCCATCCGTGACCTTGTATCTACTTAGTAGATCCGACACTTAGGATATACAGTGTTGTTGGTTTTTAGTGCTTATATATATATATATATATATATATATATATATATATAT